AACTAAATGGATTAATGGAGACTACTAATATGTGAAGCAATGGGGGGAAATACTCAAACTGTGTAGGAAACTGATTATCATTTGATAATCTGAGAGTTAGTTTCATTGTACTTCCGAAGGACAAATCCAGGTCTTCTTTTAATGTTTGGCCCAAGTAAAGGATGAGCAAATACCATGTCAGGATTCCTATGAAAACATGTTTGTAAGACTGGGGCCCAAACAACGTTTCAAAATAAGAATTAATTAGAAATCAGTATTTCCAACCCTGCTTTCTGGCAATGAAGTCTGAAAACCCCCAAAACATCAATAAAAATGTAGCACTGTAAGTTCGCTATCAGCAGCTTAAAAATCACAATCCAATATAGGTTCAACAGTGGAACCAGAACATCGTTTTTGTTCAGAAAGACAGTTTACTTAACCATTAAAGAGGTATATGGAAACAAATCTGATTAGCTCTTTTTATGCTTCACTCACTGATCATGCTGGAGAAACATGAATGTATACAGGAAGATGCTAGATTTGATTATCGATATAAAGGAGAAGCAGCACTCATTCCTTAAAAGATAAGGACAAAAGATACTCCTAAAAGCATCCCACCTCATGATGGATCAAATACCAAAGTCCTTATTTATTGCCCAATCTTGAAAAGGCTTATGCACTTAGCTAGATTGACATATTATGAGCTTGGTGAAAATAGCTCAGACAATCACTCTGGGGCTGTATTTGCCCCATAAAGAATTCATGAAAAACAGTTTCCTACACCATTTTAAAGTATCTCTGCCAATTGCTCTATGGAAAAAAAAAAAAAAAAAAGGATAACATTTAGGTTTCAGAAGATGTAATCATTCCAATTCACCTTTAATACCAGCTAATGAAGCATTTTTCTTATTTACCCTTTTGTCACACATCCTCCCCTCAACTTTGGCCTGGCTACCAGCAAGCTTGCTAGTCATTCTTACCATGCAAATTCGTACAAGTTTCAGAGTTTCACTCCATGGTTTCTGTGCATACTTTAGACGCATCTTTTCCATTAAAGCATTTGTTGAAATAAGTTTCCCAGAATCTGGAAAATATTTTGAAGTTTTCTGATGCATGCAAGTGCCACATTTTACAAACTGATAGGGTAATGTAAATAAAAGATCTAAAAGTTCTCTCTTTTTAACCTGCCTCTTTTAAAGCCTTCCACATGATGTTTCACATAAGGAAACTTAGAAAAGTTTGATTTACATTTTGGATGCCAGTGTCTAGTCCTAGTCTGTGGATTTGGAATTTCCAGGGGCGTTGTGTGCATTTTCCATTTCCTTTTTTGCATAGGGAAGTGAAAACACCACTTTAAAACTACTTCAGGTACAGAAGCATAGACAGACCTCCACCTTCTTAAATTGACTTGCTTATAATCCATACATAATGTGGTATGTGTGTGTTCCCCACACATAGGGAAGCCTTAATCCAACCATTAGCTCCTCATCACTGGCTACATCTACATAAAGCTCATTGAAAAGTCAAGATCTAACTAATCACTAAAAAACAAAAATCTGATAAAAACCTCTATAATGCTTCTGGGTTACAGTTTCACTAGAGAGGCAGGATATCAAGGAATCTGCACTGAACATTGCCATTATACTATTATTGTAAACAATTATCTGAGAGAGGAGATGCAAGACCCACAAGAAAATAGTAATTTACATATATACTCTTATATTTAAAACTCAGGGGAAATTAAAACCTTGTGAGAAATATATACTGTGTGTGTGAACACACACACACACACACACACACACACACACACACACACACACACTTTCATATCTCTCTTTATACCCTTATTTGCTGGCTGGATATATATACCCTCCCTCTTTGCTGTCTCTCTCCATATATACCCTCCCCCCTCTCCACACACACTCTCTCTCTCCCCATATATACACACTGTCTTTCTATATATACACACCCTCTTTCTCTCTATATATACACGCCCTTTTTCTATACCATCTCTCTCTTTATATAAAGGTCTCGCTCTCTTAACCCTTCCCAAAATCTAATTTCTTGAAAGTTTTTAATTCTCCCGAGTTTTATATACAAAGAAATTAGATTTTCGAGAGGGTTAAGAAACATACACACACATGCGCACCAGCTTCTGGCTTCTGCCAAGGCAGGGGTGCCTGTAACCCTGAGCCGCTTCCAGCTGCTACAGAGGCGGCAGCCCAGTCTTGGCCCAGCCTCGAGGGGGACAGGGCTAAAGAAGACAAGATGAGGGCAGGCGCCTTTTTGTGCCTTCACTCGATAGCGGGTGGGTCAGAGCTGCCCCGCGGCCGCCCTCGCCCCCATTTGCCCCGTGCAGCGAGGCTGCCGTCGCAGCCACCCGTGGGTGACACCAGGCGCCCCCGCCACAGATAGCACCTGCGCGCGCAGCCCCCGGACCGGCAGGGCAGCCCCCAGCCCCGCTCTGCGTCCGCCTCACGCCGCCTCCTGCCCCGGCAGCCCCTAGCTCGGCCTGGAGATGGCAGGGATAGGGATCGGGATCGGGATCCGGCTCCGGCTCCGGCTCCGGCTCCGGCTCCATACTCCACTCCTCGGGGGCAACAGCTGGGGCCCATCCTGCCCTAATGACCCCGAGCCACCAGGTCACGTGAGGGGCCTGGGCTAGTGCTTCCAGGCAGGGTAGATTTGCCCCTTGACATAGCCAGGTCGGAGGGGCTAGAGGGAGGAGGAAGTTCTGGAGCCCCCGTCCCACACCCTGGCTGGAACATTCCTCCCTCCCCACTAGGACACAAGAACCAGCAACCAACTCCTCTCCTCTCCAGCTCATCGCCTCCAGGAGAGAACCAGCGGCTCGGCCTAAATCCCCCCTTCCTCCCTGTTGCAGGAGGCACAGAGCAAAATCTTCTCCTCCCTATTGCAGTCAGAGAGAGTGGAGCTGGCCCAGCAGAGCCCTGCCCACCCGGTGGCATTCCCAGACGGGCAATGCTTGAACCTGCAGGGCAATAAAGCAGTCAAAGCTATTGCTTCCCTCCCTGTAGGAGTGGAAATAAAGGCTGCAGCTGAATGTGCCCTTTGTACAGCCTCTGATAGGCATTCCATCTGTGGCTTTTCCCATTACTTCCCTTTGCAGCCCAGCCTTCCTCATCAAGATTCATCTCAACCACTACCCTGAAGTTTGATCCCTAATAATAAAAGAAGTTATAAGGTCCCTCTTACCTGAAGGATAGGCCTAGGTTTAGTAGGGTGGCCATCATAGAGGACGTTCCAGTTTTCTGCTAGTCTGTCCTCTGTTGATACAAAACCTGATGCCTTTATGTCCTCTATTTTTCTCCTTGAGATACAAAACCCAATGCCTCTATTTTTCTTCAAGAGAACAATAGAGGACATAAAGGCGTCGGGTTGCATAACAATAGAGGACAGAGGACAGCTGGACTGTCCTTTGTGATGCCTACCCTCATGTCTAGGGTTGCCAGGATTGCCCTGGAGTCTCCAGAAATTAGAGAGAAATTTCCAGAAGATGGTTTGATCAGGCCCAGAGGAGTGCTGGAAGTCACCTGGGAGATAAATGATAGGGCATTCATTAAAATAAATAATGTTGTTAAATGTTGAATCTGATTTATACAGTTGTTCAGTGGTTTTTTTAAATGTAAGAGTAATGTGCATTTGCCTTCCTGCCCTAAAGTCATTAATGTCATTACACCATGTGATGATGCCTCCCAGAATAGATTCAGATAGAGTTGGCAACCCTACCTATGTTGGAAGTATCATAGAATTGTACAATAGTAGGGCTAGAAGGGACCTATAAGATCATCGAGTCTGGTCACTGGCCATGGGCAGGAGGTGACTGGGCTCAAACTAGCTTAACAAGGTGCCTGTCCAGCCTTCTCTTGAACGTCTCCAAGGATGATGACAGCACCACCTCTGCTGGGAGTGTGCTCCAGATTCTAGATACCCTTACAGAATAAAAGGTTTTCCTTATGTCCAGCTTAATTTTTTCCCCAATTAGCTTGTGTCTATTGGACCTTGTCCTCCCAAGGGGTGCCTTTTCTGAAAAGTTTCTCTCCTAGATCTTGGTGTTCACCCCTGTTACACTTGTAGGCAGCTATCAGGTCACCTCTCATAGTAGTATAGTGATCTTCTATAGGAAAAATGCCACATTCATATACATCTTATGCTGTAGTTTAGGTGGGTTTTGGTATTTATCTGTATTCTTTTCCTCGTTGTAAGCTATGTCATTACAAAGCTCTTGTTATATGTACTGGGAAGCCTAAAATATCATTAGAGAGCAAAGGCTCTGAGCTTCCAAATGTTCAAGCACATAAGTAAGAAGTGAGTAGTCCCATTGAATCCAACAGGGAAGTAGAACAAATCAGTGTCTATGTCCATCCAATTTCAGTTCAGGTGCTAACCACAGAATTGTTAAACATGCATTGCAAGTAGGCAGGTGGGTGAAGCTACATAGTCAGTAAAAAAGTTTAAATGCAAAATGAGGCAATTAGTTATGCTGAAGATGTAATTACTGATATACATTTAAATTGATGCCCACATCCCCAGACTTACGACTTGTTTTTTGCTGGTATTATCATGTATAAATTAGTTTTTAGACTGAAATTGTTGCAGCAGCTTCAGATGTAATTGTCAGTTTCATCTGTGAATTGCCTGACCAACCTGATTGTCTTCTTTGACAAGTTGCCTGGCTCTGTGGATGCAGGGAGATCAGTGGATGTGGTGTACCTTGATTTTAGCAAGACTTTTAATACAGTCTCCCACAACATTCTTGCAATCAAGTTAAGGAAGTACAGGCTGGATGAATGGACTGTAAAGTGGATAAGAAACTGGTTCGAGCATCAGGCTTAGACAATAGTAATCAATGCCTCGATGCCTAGGTGGCAGCTGGTATCAAGTGGGGTATCCCAGGGGTCGGTCCTGGGGCTGTTTTTGTTCAATGTCTTCATCAACGAACTGGATGATGGCATAGAGTGCATCCTCAATAAGTTTGCAGGTGACACCAAGCTGGGGGGAGTAGTACATATGCTGGAAGGTAGGGCTAGGATTCAGAGTGATACAGACAAGTTGAAGTATTAGGCCAAAAGGAATCTCATGAGGTTCAACAAGAAGTGCAAAGTCCTGCACTTAGGACAGAAGAACCAGATGCACTGCTACACCCTGGGGGCTGACTGGCTGGGCAGCAGCTCTGCAGAAAAGGACCTGGGGGGTTACTGTGGACAATAAGCTGAATATGAGCCAAGAGTGTGCCTTTGTTGCAAAGAAGACTAACAGCATTCTGGGCTGCCTCCATAAGACTGTCAAGGGAAATAATTATTTCAGTGATTATTCAGTACTGGTGAAACCATGTCTGGAGTACTGTGTTCAGTTTTGAGCTCCCCACTACAGAAAATATGTGGACAAGTTGGAGAAAGGCCACCAGAGGGCAACAAAAATGGTGAGAGGGCTGGGGGACATGACTTATAAGAGGGAACTGGGCTTTTAATTTAGAGAAGAGGAAACTGAGAGTAGATTTAATAGCAGCCTTCACCTACCTGAAGGGGAGTTTGAAAGATGATGGAGCTACACTGTTCTCAGTGGTGGCAGATGACAGAACAAGGACCAATAGTCTCGAATTGCAGCAAGGGAAGTTTAGGTTAGGTATTAGGAAGAATTTTCTCTCTTGGAGGGTAGTACAGCACTGGAACAGGTTACCCAGAGAGATGGTAGAAGCTCCATCCTTGGAGGTTTTTAAGACCCAGCTAAACAAAGCTTTGGCTGGGATGATCTAGTTGGTCCTGCTTTGATCAGGGGGTTGGACTAGATGACCTCCTGAGGTCCCTTCTAACCTTAATTTTCTATGATGCTATGATTGGTGTATCTGTTTAAAACTTTAACCCAATTTTGTAAATGCATGTTTTCAGTCATCCCAGAGTCTTTGCTTAGTTCAAGTTGGTTTGTACTTCTGACTAGTGGAGGACACCCTGACCTGGGTGAAATGAGCTGATAATTCTACTGTGCATGTCCATATCACATAATACACCACTACAATTGGCAGATATTGGTGTTTTGAGATCATTTTCAATGGCGGGGGGGGAGGGCATTCATTCTGTTCCTGCTCTAAACCCTCCTGAAATCACTGGGAG